TTTTATTGTGAATTGGGTGAGAGTTTACGTGGGAGAACACCAGCTTTATATTCATCCTATCGCATTTCATTTCATTGCAATGATTACAATCCCCTCCATGCATCATCATTCAACAGCATTTGCTTCCTTTCCCTCTGTTTTTTGTTTTTTTGTTTTTTTAATGTACACTGAAGCACTCAGGAATATATAACCATTTAAATCACCAAAGGGCAAATCCCGCAAGCCTGCCCCCACAACTTGCTTATTCTTGTAGTAGCCAACATACTGCCATTTTTGTTTGGGGTTTCTCTTGCTGATGTTTCTCTGAAGATGTATTTTCTGTTGCTCTAGCTGTTCCAGACTGGTTTGCTTGTGCTTTCTAGTGGGAATGTCCCACCTCAGAAGATTCTGGATGGGGTTCAGGATTTCACCTAAGGTCCTATACACTGCAAAGGCTCCGCAAGAAGCCTATTTCACCGGGCAAGTTCTAGAACCCTTTTTAGGTATTCTAATCAGTTATAGGATAAAGACATGCTTTCTGTAATCACGTTTCCCAACATTCCTTTTATCACACTCAAGCGTCTATTTTACAATAGTAGGCAAGGAAAACCAATATTCATAAGACAGTCAAGCATCTTAGTATTATTTTCCCTCTTCAGAGCATGCCTCGATCCCTGTATCACAGACCCCTGTTGTTCCAAGGTTGAGCATGCATCACTATTTACCTCAGGTCTTTGATAACTTTTAGAAGAATGACAGCATATCTATTTATAGACAAAGTCTTTACAGGTAAGAAATTTATAATTATTCAGAGACAGATATTCTGAAGTCTAGTCAATTGCTTTCTGACATGTTAAAAATGAATTGGTGTTCTTAGGTGCCATCAAGATAGTTTCAACTCATAGCGATCCTTTATACACAACAGAACGTAACACCACCCAGTCCTGCACCATCCTTACAACTATTGCTCTGCTTGAGCCCACTGCTGCTGCCACTGTGCCAATCCATCTCATTGGGGGTCTCCCTCTTTTTCGCTGACCCTCCACATTATCTAGCATGATATCCTTCTCCAGGGACTGGTCCCTCCTGATAACATGTCCAAAGTGTGACAGATGAAATCTGGCCATCTTGGCTGTCAAAGAGCCTCTGGTTTTACTTCTTCCAACACACATAATTAACTATCAATGATGATTTAAGTAAATGAAATTTTTAAGTATATTTTTTTCTTCACTTGTTAAAAAACAATCAAATACTCTTTTTCTTCTAACAGTTTTACTTAGCACACTAACCTAATTATAAACTCTTAAAAGGAAAATACAAGGGGGCTTCAAAAAGTTCATGGAAAAATTAGAATTCAAAGATAACAAAATTTACCCATGAACTTTTTGAATAACAATTTCATCAGCATTCTGATGTGGCACTATAGGATTAACACTGGACTGTTAACCACAAGGTCAGTGGTTCAAATCCACCAAGTCACTTCTCAGAAACCCTACACAGGGTTGCTGTGAGTTGGAACTGACTGAACAGCACTTAACAACAGTGCTGACAGACACCAGTAGTACAGTCTGGCTTTAGGGAAAAGGTACCATTTCTGACCCTATATTAGTATGAGGAATTGCTACCTCTAATCCTTTTGGTGGGTCTTCCTCCTAGCCCTAGGCAGTTTCCTCACATACAGAACCAGCTGCAGAGTTCCTTCTCTGGGCATTACTTTTCTCTCTGATACTGAACTCACCTTGGTTTTCTACTCCACTCAGAAATGACTGAAAAACTTACATTTGTTACATTCAGGACATAAGCACCTCACTGGTTATATCTCAATGGAACATTCACAGTATTCCATTCCTCCATGTGAGAAGGGACTTACTGTAAGCTCCTACATAACCACAGGGTCATTATCATCTTTTTTTGAATGTTTCTCTGCCAAGTGGCAGAACTACTACTCTTCCACTCACTGGTAATGAATTCTCCCCAAGTTGACCTAGTTCCAAAGGGCTATGCACAACCACAGTCATTACTGTCCTTATGTCAGTTTCCACTCTCACAACTTCACCACTGAGGGAACCAGAAAATCTGTCTTATTGTATTATTTCAGTGGATTTATTTAATTTAGGTATTATTGTCTATGCAACATATTCATACATATGAAGTGGCTTACAAAATAAGGTCAACTTAAAAATAAAAATACAAATAAACATATGCAAATTTGATTCTTCTAGAGCAAGTTTCTCAATCTACATACTACCAACATTTTGGGCTAGATAATTAATTCTTAACTATATTAGTTAGGCATGGGTATATGATGTGCACTAAAAATGTTCAGCAGCACCCCACTAGACGTCAGTAACAACCCAATCTTACCAACTGTGACAATCAAAACATCTTCCCTGTGACGACACCTGGGCTAATACAATTTTGACTACAAGTACAGTTGTTATGCAAATAAAGGGTAAAGAGGAATAATATTTTATTCTAGATTGCCAGGAACTGTCCATTTGCCTCTTGATCCCCTCAATGCTCAGGCTAACCCTAATAATGATGTATTTGGCTTTCTCTGGTATACGTATTCAACTGGTATATGATATGGTATATTGTACTCAACTATTATATGATAACTAAAGTATGATCATTAAATCTCAACAATCTGAAGATTCATATTTATAATTACCTTATATTTTAAATCTAATTTTTATAAATAATTCTTTTATACATGATTTAGTAAACAGCAATAATATTCTATTATACTCAAATGACTGTAAAGCATCAGAATAAAACATCTCTTCAAGAAGCAATGGAATGAATTTCAGTACTAAATATCATTTTACTGCATGCCATGCTTACTTTATACATTACTTGTCTTATATTTAAACTGTACAGTTGAAACGTCCTACTTTTTAAGAATAAACCTTTTCATTCTAAAATCTTATTTCTCAGTTCCAAAATATAATCCACAAGAATTAAAATTTATATTTAGTTGACTTAAGATGGAGCAATTCATTGACTTGGTAGCTAGAAAGATTCCATTAAACCAGTGTTATTAATGAGTAGACAACTATACCAATTGTAAATTTTGAGTAGATACACATGGAAGGCCGATACAATTACCTGCAACATGAGCTCACAATCATCTCTTCCAACAAAAATCATTTCTCGTGGCAGCCTATGGCGAGTGCCTCCACTGCTCACCAAAAACCAGGATGTTAAGCTCATTTTCTGCTTAGCTTCTAAGTCTTTGGCAAAACTACGTCATCCTGCAGAGAGATAATATAGAAAAACACATTTAGGTATTTTTAGCTGTCACCTCTATTCACCAAACCACTTAGGTAGACTTAATAAAAGATCTGTATTCATCAACATTCATACCTGACTACATTGGCCTGTCCATGTGTCCCAGGAAATAATGTATCTACCAAATATAAAGGTAAGTCAAAAAGTATTGCTACAAAATCAGATAGCCCTTTACTAAACAAAAATATCAAAATGTGAAGCCATTGTTTCTCAATATATTTTCCATCTAGGTGGATATATTCCTGAAGGAAGTGTTTCAACGTCTCTGACCCTTCTCTAAAGAATTCTGCAGGCTTCAATTTACACCATGTAAAAACAGCGTTTGTGCATCCTCAAAGGACTCAAATTATGCTCCTTTTAACAAGTCTAAAAAGATAAGATCAGGGCTATAGGGTGGATAGGGTAAGGCTTCCCAGTGAAATTCATGTGGACAACTCTTACTACCCTCAAAGAATAAGCAGGTGTAGTGAAGGAGCTCTGGTAGCATAGTGGCTATAATTTGGGCTGCTAATCTCATGGTCAGCAGTTTAAAACTACCAGTTGTTCCATGGGAGACAGATGAGGATTTCTGCGCCTATAAAGATTTACAGTCTCGGAAACCCTATGCAGGGTCGCTATGAGTCAGAACCGACTCCACAGAACATAACCACCAATGTTATGATGAAAAAAATTCCTTAGTGCAACTTTCCTGGTCTTTTTTTCACCAATGCAATTTTCAATTTTCTTGTTGTTGCTCAGTGCCACTGAGTTGATTCCAACCCATAGAGTCCCTGTATAGTGTTTCCAAGGAGCAGCTGATGAGCTTGAACCACCAAACGTGAAGTTCAAACCCACCCTGCAGTCCAGCACACTAACCCACATCGCCACACCAGAAGTTCTTCAATTTTCTTAAAACTTCATAATAAGCCCCCATGATTATCCTGTGTCCTTTGAGAAAAATCTGTCAATATTACTCCTTGGAATAATAAAAAATAAAAAAGCCACCATAACTTTCTGAGTAGAGCCCTGGTGTGGCACTGTGGGTTAACTCACTGGACTGCGAAGTTGGTGTGAACCAGGTCGGCGGGTCAAGCTCACCAGCCACTCTTCAGAAACTCTATATAGGGTCGCTACAAGTCAGAATTAACTCAATGATACTTAACAATAACAACCTTTTGAGCTGATCTCTCTGCCTTGAATTTAACTGCCCCAGCAGATGCCCTCAGAAGCCCATATTTTGATTTTGCCTTGCTCTCTAGATAGTGTTGGTAAATCAAGACTCATTCCTGGTTATGATTTGTTCCATAAAACGGTCTTCATTATCTCTGATCTTATGTAAAAGAGAATTGATAGATTAGCTCTTGGAGCTAGCTCATCATTCTATGTGGTAGCCACACAGCCAAAAGCTTGCTGAAGCTAAGATGTTCACTTAAAATTCAAAATGCTGAACCACATGGGATCCTAACTTGAGCATCTATCACATCAATAGTAATTCTTCCACCATTTCTGGACTTCAGCCACAGTTTCTGTATTTGTTGAGGTTGAAAGTCTTCCTTATCTTTACCTTCCTTAAAACACATGATCCAAGAAAACTACAAAAACTACTACCAGAAACTAAAAGAGACTTACAAAAATGGAAGAATGTACCATGCTCCTGGATAGGAAGACTTACATTGTGAAAATGCCAATACTGCTCAAAGCAATTTACATATATAATGTAATCCCAATGACATTCTTCAAAGAGATGGAAAAAACAATTACAAACTTTATATGGAAAGGAAAGAAACCCAGGATAAGCAAAGCACTGCTTAAGAATATGAATAAGGTTGGAGGCCTATCATTTCCCGAATTCAAAATTTACTACACGGCTACAGTGGTCAAAACAGCTTGGTACTGGTACAATGAAAGGTTCCTAGATCAATGGAACAGAATCGAGAATACAGAAATTTACGCATCTACAAACAGCCAACTGATTTTTGACAAAACACTTAAATATATCACATGGGGAGGTGACAGTCTCTTCAACAGATGGTGCTGGCAGAACTGGAAAATGATATGCAAAAACTGAAACAAGACCTTCACTTCATACCTTATATAAAAACCAACTCAACAGGATTAAGGACCTAAATGAGAATCCCAGAATTATGAAGGCCATCAATGAAAAAATCGGGACAAATGTGAGGGCACTAATTCTGGGAATACACAGACTACAAAACATTTTGAAAACCACACAAACAAAAGTAGA